CCAAACTGATAAAATTATAGATAAAAAAGGCGAGACCACAAAAAATATATATCCCCCAAATTGGAGAATCTAAAAGAAATTATAAATTCTTAGACACATATGACCCTCAAAATTGAATAAGAATTATAAACAAATCAATAAGCAATAAGACTGAAGCAATATAACCCTCCTAAATGAAGAAAGGCCCTTTTCTGAGAAAAAGACATTTATTTATTTATTTATTTATTTATTTATTTATGGAACCGGGTTTGAACTCAGGCCCTTGTGCTTGCCAGGGAAGCACTTATTCCACTGAGCCATCACCCCGGCCCGAGAAAAAGACTTTTAAAAAGAACTAACAGCGATGTTTCTCACTCTTTTCCAGGAAATAGAAGGGGAAGGAATGCTTCCAAATTCTTCTATGAAGCCTAATTACTCTGACAGCAAACCAGTAAAAAACCTCACAGAAACTGTAGACCAATATCCTCGATGAACACAATGAATTCAATACAATTCTTGCAAAGAGAATTCAGCAACACATTAAAAAGATCATATAGCATGACCAAGTTTGTTTCATCCCAATGTACAGATAATGTTAAAGAAAAAAAAGGCACACAAAAACAAAAGCCCCATGATTATCTCAACAGTTGCAGAAAAATGCTTCAGCAAAATTCAACGTTCTTTCACATTAAAAACCCTGGAGAAAATACTATACAGGGATCTTTCCTTCAATTGACAAAAGCTGTATGTACATAAAAGCCTACAAACAATATCATCTATTGACAGGGAATCATTGAAAGCATTCCTTTAAAATGTGGAGTGAGACAAGGGTGTCCCCTCTTGCCATTTCTGTTCAATACAGTGCTTAAAAATTTAGTGTAATTAGGCAAAATAAATAAATAAATGAAAATAAAAGGAATACAAACAGGAAAAAAAGAAGTCAAATTAACCTTATTTGCAAGCAATATAATCCTTTTCATAGAAGACTTTAAAAACCTCACCCTGCCAAAAAACAAAACCTCACCCAGCTTTTCCAGTTTCCTCAGCACAAGGAATCATGAGCAGCAAAGTCTCCCGTGACACCTTGTACGAGGCAGAGCATGAGGTCCTCCACGGTACCAGCAAAAGCGCTGGAAGTTTTTAGAGACTGTGGAGTTGCAGACCAGCTTAAAGAATTATGACCCTCTGAAGAACACGTGCTTCTTGGGCAACATTAGGCTGAAGCCCACACCCACCCCAAGTTCTCTGTGTGTGTCCTGGGGGGCCAGCAGCACTGCAATGAGGCCAAGGCCATGGATATCCCCCACATGGACAATGAGGCACTGAAGAAGCTCAACAACAATAAGAAGCTGGTTAAAAAGCTGGCCAAGAAGTATGATGCCTTTCTGGCCTTGGAGTCTGTGATCAAGCAGATCCCACAAATCCTGGGACCCAGCCTCAATAAAGCTGGCAAGTTCCCTTCCCTGCTGACCCACAATGAAAACATGGTGGCCAAAGTTGATGAAGTGAAGTCCACGATCAAGTTCCAGATGAAGAAGGTCCTGTGTCTGGCTTTGGCTATTGGTCATATGAAGATGACAGATGACGAGCTTGTGTATATCATCCACCTGGCTGCCAACTTCCTGGTGTCACTGCTCAAGAAGAATTGACAGAAAATCCAGGCCCTATACATCAAGAGCACCATGGGCAAGCCCCAGCGCCTGTATTAGTGCACATTCTAATAAATGTTAGTGCCACCAAAAACAAAACAAAACAAAACCAAAAACAAAAAAACTTTACTCAGAAGATTCTGAAATCTGATAAATTCAGTAAAGTGGAAGGATATGAAAACAACCCACAAAAAGTACTAACTTTCCCATATACCAACAATAAACCTTCTGAGAAGGAAATCAGGAAGGCAGTATTCCATTTACAACAGCTATACCCACAGTTTAAAGGAGGAGGTTTTTTTGGCTCATGTTTCAGTCTACAGTCAACTGATTACAAGCCAATATGGCATGGCAGAGGCACATGGCAGACAGCTGAGGAGAGCTGCTCAGGCGCAGCAGACAAGAGATCAGGGGAGGAGTGGAAGGGCGATAAACGCTTCCAGGCCACACCTGAGGGACCTACCTTTTCCAGTCAGAGCCTACCTCCTTACAGCACATCAGCTATAGATTCTGATACACCAATCACCTTCTACAAGCCTCTCCTATGAGCTCATGAGACTTTTGGCAGACATCTAGATAAAAACCATAATACTAGGCATCAACCTAACCAAGGTGAAAGACATCTAAATGAAAATTGTAGAATACTGAACAAAGTAACTGAAGATACCAGAAAATGGAAAGACGTGCTTATTTATGAATTGGCAGGACCAATATTGTCAAAATGGCCATATTACCAGAAATGACTGACAGATTCAATGCAGTCCCCAGTATAATACTAAGAACATTCTCATAAACTAGGAAAAATAATCCTAAATATTTATAAAAGCACACAAGACCTAGAATAGCCAAAGCAATCCTGAGTAAAAGCAACAAAACTAAAGGTGTCATATTATCTGTCACAGTAACAGAAACAACAGTACTGGCATAAAAATAGACATACAGACCAATGGAACAGAAAATGCAAGAACAAGTCCATGCAGTTATAATCGTCTGCTTTTAACAAGGGGGACAGAAAGATATACTAGAGAAAAGATAGTGGTTTCAAGAAATGGTGCTGGGAAAACTAGACAACCACATGGAAAACACTGAAACTAGATCCTGTCTCTTACCCTGCACTAACATCTGATCAAAATGAATTAAAGACCTCAATGTCAGACTTAAAACTTTTCAAATACTGGGACAAAACATAGAAGCACAAACACTGCCATAGGCAGAGACAAAGACTTCCTGAATAGGACCACAATCTTACAGGAAATAAATAAAGAACAAATCAGTATATATCAAATTCAAATGAGACTCTACTTACTTTGTATAGCAAAGTAACAATCAACAGAGGAACAGAAAACCTAGAGAACTGAAGATAATCTTTGCTAGCTACTCTTCTAATTGAAGATTAATATCCAGACTACACAAAAAAAAATTTAAAAACATGAAAAACATTAACAACAAAACAAACAGCCCAATCAATCAGTGAGCAAGCAGGGCCAGGTGTAGTAGAGCACATCTGCAATCCTACTCAGGAGGCTGAGGCAGAGAATGGCTCCAAGTTCAAGGCCAGCCTGGGCTATAAGGAAAACAGGGGTGGGGAACACACAAGATGTACACATAAACTGAATAAAAAGTTCTTAAAAAGAGAAATACAAATGGCCAGTAAATGAAGAAATGTTCACCATCCTTAGCCAACAGGAAAATGCAAATCAAACTATGCTGAGATTCCATCCCTCTCCAGTCAAAATGGCTATTACAAAGAATAAAAAAACAATGAATGCTCATGATGATGCATGGCAAAAGAAACTCTTACGTCACTGGTGAGAATGTAAGCTAGGACAATCACTGTAAAAGTCTGAAGATCCCTCAAAAAACTAAAATAGACCATTTCATCTAGTGATTCCACATTTATAGTCTCAAAAGAATTAAAGACAGTATACAACTGGAATATATGCGTTCCTATATTTATAGTAGTGCAACTCACAACAGCTTAGCAGCGGGAACAGTCTAGATGGCCACAGATGGTTAAAGAATATGCAAGATTATGAAATCATGTCACTTGCAGGAAAACAGAACTGGAGACCATTATGTTAAACATGTTAAAACAAACCAATCTCAGAGTTTAAAATCACATGCTTTTTCTTAAGTGAGAAATCTCAAAAATAAATACAGTACAGGACAGCGAAGTTGAAGGCAGCTAGAGGATTAGGGAGAGGGAGAAGAAAAAGAAGAGGGTGTAATGGAGATGAAAATAGTCAAAATGCTACACCTATGTACCAATATACTATCACAAATATTACTATTCTATACTACCAATATGTAACAGTAAAATAATAAAAAATACAAAGGAATGGAGGCACAACTCAGTGGTATAGCACTCATGTGTTCAGGTGCCAACATTTCAATCAATCAATAAATAAATGGCGGGCTAGGGAGATAGTTCAGTAGAATAAGCAATTGCCTGCCAAGTGCAGGGTCCTGAGTTCAATCCTTGGTACAACAACAACAAAAAAAAATAAATAATAAAATATGCAAATAAATGGCAGTGTCCAAAAATATTAAGGAAAAAAAATTAGAAATTCATGAGTTACATTTTTTCCCTATTACTTACTAGTTCATGATCTTAAGAAAGTCGATTTATTATTAATATTAATCTAACAAATTTCCTAAAGAATATCAAAGGTTAAAAAAGGTTTTTAAGAACATAAGGCCTCATGTAAAATATAAAGGATCACTCAATAAATTTTGACAAAACAACTAGCATAACAAAACCACCCCCCAATCCAATGCAATCTAAACCAAACCAAACCAAGCACATAAAACTTGAATGATGGTCAGCAAAGCTAAAAAGACAGCAAGAAAGTATCAGATCAGAACCCTGGAGAAAAATATGCAAATAAAACACACTTCATAAAATCTGGATCAGAGAAAACATTAAAATGGGAATCAAGGGTTGACGAGAGCTCAGCAGACTAAAGAGCCTGCTTAGGCAAGCTTAGGTAAGCACAGGGACCACAATTCAATTCCTGTTCCCACATGCAGCACCAGCCCTGCCCGTTTTGACAAAAAAATAAAATAATAAAAAGGGAATCAAAATATTTTTATTGAATGATAATATAAATCCTCCATATAAAACTCCTACACCATGCTTCTTTGCCCCTTAGGGATTACTTGCCATGAGAACTGCTATTCCATCTTAAACAACTAGGAAACAAAAACATGTGCAACATATGGAACAATTCTATTACATTGAACATTAAAAATGAGCACTAGCAGTAACTAAAGTGTTAAAATTATTTACAGTACTGCACAACAAAGTCACATATGGGTTCTTCCTTTTCTAAATGCTATGATAACTGGAAAAGGAGGAGGAAATGAAGTTACCATATTTCGTTGCACTAAGTTATCTATGTCCCTCTTCACTATGTGCAGGTGCTCCTTGATATCCATGAAGTGCTGTGTTGTTTCATACACACCTCCTGCAGAGCCTGGGTGCTGTATCCCACTCACCAGTCTGATAGTTTCACTCATGGAATTTCTGAAACAGAAAATCCATTTATTTATTTGTTTGTTTATTTATTTATGGCAGAACCAGGGATTGAACTCAGACCCTAGCACTTGCTAGGGAAGTGCTTATTCCACTGAGCCATCTCCCCGGCCCCAAGAAAATCCCTTTTTATAACATCACTATAAAAGTTTTTTTCAGCCACATATTTCAAATAGTTATACCATTTTATGCCCAACATATAAGATCATTAAAAAAGTAAAGAACTATTTAAATATTTTTTCAAAATTGAAAAATAATTTGCAAAACTGCAATTTAACATAATGCTTTTATTTTTTATTAATGTCACCTAAAAGTAACCACATAATCTACTAAAATATGGCTATACTACTGTAATATGTATTAAAACCATCAATGTAAATGGATATTGAGTAACATAATGGATTGACACTTTTAATGAAATTACTAGAAGTTTTTCCAGGTATTCAATATGGTATAGTAAAGGATTAACTCAGCAGACATGGGTTGTCCAAACCCTGTGGATTCCAAAGGTTTTCAGGACTGGCCCTTGACTACAGTTTAGGCAAACACTGTGATTTGCTAAGATTTCTGTGTCTGTTTGCCTGGGGCCTTTTTGAGAGACTACTTCTTCAGACTGCAGACTGTACTTAAGGTCATTCTCAGTGTTGTGACTGACAGCTAAGAGGAACCTTAAACACCAAGACTTGGGTGAGTTTCCTTGGTACCTAGGACTCTGTGCATGCTGTAATATATTGTTGGGAAAATGAAGTATAGGTAGCCCGTGACTTATGGCTTGGAAGCACAGTATGCTGTAGAGTATTTATTATTCTCCTGACTGACTGGAATCTGTAGTTGGATGACATTGCCCAGCATTGCAAGACATCATAGATCACATATTTTAGCCTAGGAAAACAGCAAAATTTAAAACTGGAATTATGGTTTCTACTGAATGTATACTGCTTTTACATCAAATAAAGTTGAAAAATTCTCAGGCTGAACCATGCTAGGGTGGGGATCATTGATACTATCGATAAGACCAGTTGGAGAAGACAACTGGAAGCTCACTTCTGGTCTTTCCTCCACTCCACTATGTACCATGATCTTAGCTGATTTGACTCTCTTTCTGCTGTAATAAATCATAAGCATAACAACAGTAACTTTTCTGAGTTCTGTGCATACTACTGGCAAATCACGGACTCTAAGATATCCTGAGAGCTGCAAAAACAAATGAAATTGTGTGTGCTTTTTTCTGTAGTTCTCTCAGATAGCTCACATGCACAGACCTAGTATCGCAATTGGAAGCCAATTGAAGTATCAATTCATTCCAAATACTTCATGAAGGAAAAACATTGTTTGGTGTACTGAGGTACAGAGGACAGTGTCTGTCCAGTGTGATACCTTTTTGAAGGGTAATTCTGATCGTATACAGCATTTTATCTTTCATTGACTTAGAATGTAAAGCTACTCATTAGATATAAAATAAAGAGCTCTAATACTGAAATGTGACCTTTAAATATGAGTCTGCAGCCATAGCTCAGCAGAGTAAGTGACTGTCTAGCAAGCACGAGGTCCCAAGTTTGATCCCTGGTACAAAAAAGAAAGTCTGTAAGCTGATTACAAATGTAAAAAGAAAATAGATATTTTCTTTAATAATGGCAAAAATATAACAGGCTTATTAATAAAGAAATAAGAATTTTAATTTTTACCCAAGAATACTAAAGTAGCTCAACTAAAGGTAAATTATTCATTATACTATGAATTATCTTCAAGGCTGGGGACTTTTGTGAGGTGATAAAATAAGACTGGACCATGTGCATCACTGTTGAAAGCTGACTGATGGGTGTGCAGAGGTTCACTGTACTGTTCCTTCTGCTTCTGAGTATGTTTGAAAACAGCTATAAAAAGTCTTCTAAAATCTGTGAGGTTGAGACTGGGCATGGTGGCACATGCCTGTAATCCCAGCTCTTGGGAGGCTGTGAAAAGGAGGATCACTACAAGTCTGATCTAGTAGTGAGACCCTGAACACTCAGTAGACCCTTCCCTAAATTTAAAAAAAAAAAATCTGTGAAATTGCTGGATGTGGTGGTACATGCTTATAATCCCAGCACTCAGGAGGCTGAGGCAGGAGGATCAACATGAATTCAAGGCCAGATTAACACAATGATCTGAAGGCCAGCCTGAACTACATAATGAGACCCTGTTTCAAAAAAACAAATCAAATCCTAAGGTTCTCTGTAATTGGGCAGCTGTTTACCTCTCGGACACACTACTCTCTTCCATTTGTCTTAGCTCTCAGCACTTCCTACTAATACTCTTCATCCTTAGCCTCTGGCTTCGTGCTGCTCTTTAGTCATACTTCCTTCCTCTTTATCTGGTCTAGAGTAAAGCTCAGCTCAAAGGTGTCCCTTCCTTTACAATTCTCTTTCTGGGATCCTTCTTGGATTCAAAGGCAAGCACGACCTTTTGACCTCTTGACCTTACTATTCTGTATCTGCACATGGGATTAGCATCAGCTCTTGGTTGATCTCTGATTTCTTACCAGCGCCTTCAATAATTATAGTTCGATCTGAATGAATAAATAGAGAGCTATCTCACTTATCTCCTTGGAGTGAAATTTAGTTTAAAAAGGATTTCTTTGGAAGAAAATGGGAGACTTAAAATCTTAGAGTTAATTAGAAATTACACAATTTGGGCTGGTGAGATGGCTCAGTGGTCTAAAGCACCTACTTAGAACAAGCTTAGCAAAGTGACCACGGTTCAATCCCCCAGCACCACATGCCAGCCAGCCCCGCCCCCTGGTGGACTGAGCTGGCCCCACACACACACACACACACACACACACACACACACACTAAATAAAATTAAAAAAAGAAATTAAAAAAAAATTACACAATTATGTCAGACTGAATATTAGGTGGTGTTTTTTTAAGACAGGATTTCATCATGTAGTGATAAAATTGGTTTGTCTCAAACTAGGGCAATCCTCCTGCCTTAGCCTTGAGTGTTGGGATTAAAGGCACTGCAGGCATTGCAAGCATGCACAACCCACACCTAATGCCCCCAAGTTTAAATATTAAAAATTATATTTGAGGGGCTGGGGAGATCTGATAGCTCACAGCTCACTGCCTGGCAAGCACAAGGACCCAGGTTTGGCCCCCAGTACCCCAGTACTGCATGCCATGCCAGCCCCACCAAAATCAGATGAGGTGTCACATACCTGTAATCCCAGCACTAGGGAGGCTGAGGCAGGAGGATCACTAGAGAGTGAGTTGTATAGTAAGACCCGATACCAAATAAATAAATAAATAAATAAATTTGACTTATGTTATGGTTTGTGTCTAGGTGTCGCCCCAAAGCCTCATGTAGTTTTGGGGTGGCTTCTGGAGCTTGAGATTGATTACCGTGGGTGTGGTTGCTGCACCTGCCCTGGGGCAGGTAATCTGCATTACAATGTAAGGTGGGAAGAGAAGCTAGCTGCTTGAGCTACTGGTACCCCTCCCTTGTGCTTTTGCTCTTTACTGCCACCATGAAATGTTGTTGTCTGCCACGTGCTGCTCTGCGTTAGACCCAGATGAGTATGGACTGAAACCTCCAGTAACTGTGAGCTAAATAAACTTTTCCTTCCTTCGACTTGGGTGTTGGGTATTTGTCCCAGCAACAACAAAAGAGTAACTAAGACAACTTACATGAAAAAGTCTGTATATATAAATATCTTAAGTGATTTTTGAATCAGCTCATGTGTTGATTAAAATTATAAGCTGACACAGTATCTGTCCTAGGCTTTCCTTGCCCTGCCTGCCTTGTTGGTTGGTTTTGGAATGTGGAAATCTCAGAATGTAAATTGACATAATATCTGTCCTAGGCTCTCCTTGTCCTATCCTTCTGGGCCAAACGGAAACTCCCTGCTTTTTTCTGGTCACAGCGTGAAGCCCTAGGGCTAATAATTGCTGTGGCACTCACAGGGCAAGATATAACCTGCTATAAAGGTATAGCACCTGAGGAAACTCCTGTTCTTTTTTTTTTTTTTTTTTTTGAAACTCCTGTTCTTGGCCTTTTCCTCATCCTTACAAGAATGTTTTGATCTTCCTAGCCCACCCTAGTCTAGTCACCATTACCATTCCTGGCAACACCCACTGCCCTGTAACCATTGTTCCTGACATAGATGTAATGAATAACTACCAAAGGTCTGGTACCTTTTGGACTTTTGTTCCTAGAGAGAAACTGGTGGTCCCAGATCCTGCTATGCACCCCTCCACTTCATCTCTTGCTCTTTCTTTCCTTTCCCACAGTGTGCCATAACCCAGGCAGGAGACTGGAACCCACTGCAGGGGGTCTCCAATATCTAGCACCATGGAAAAGGTCGCTAATGGAATCTAGTTTTTTTGTTTTACTAAAATGTCAATTAATGATTACATTTTAATATATATTACCTAAAATACCAGGGCTAAAACCATCCAGTTAAAATAACTGTCTTATATATCTGAATGTAAGAATTTGCCTCTCAGAAGCATAAACCTGTTTAGTTGCAAAAATCTTTTGTCATATACAGACTGAATCTCTTACTGGGCATATAGGTGAACTGTGGTAGACTAAATATTTAGTTTAGGGACTAGATCAAATGGAAAAAGGGCTGGATAGAACTTTAAAGAAAATCAGTTTTTAAAGGGTAAGAGAAGAAAGAGAGCTAAGTGAAGAACATGAACAGAAGCAGAGACCAAAGAACATTAACAATGAAAGGTACGCTACAAATCCTGACAGGAATGAGGTAGGGTTATTATCAGCTGAGACCATGCTCTATAGTATTAGCATATGGAAACATGACATTTTTGGCTTGTTTTCTATTTTCTAGGTATTGAGAAATGTTCATCTGCAGAAGTGAATTATGCTTATTAGAAATTTATCATTCAACATTCCAAACAATGCCTGCTGATTTTTTAAATCTAGTCCCAGGACACAAGATGAGAATGAAAAAGAGGTCATCAAAATAATTCCTTCAAAATGGTTTCATCAAAAGAAAAGAATCTTCTGGGGCTAGGATAAAGCTCTGTGACACAAGGGTATGCTTGGCAAGAGCAAGGTCTTGAGTTCGATTCCCAGTACCAAAAAAAAAAAAAAAAAAAGAATCTTTTGCCTCAAATTTACTACGCTACAAGGCTAACTATGCTTATTTCCACATTATTTTTTAGAAGTATCTCATATCATTCCTATTTTCTAAATATTTCTGGCTTAGTCAAGTAACTATGGCTAATTCACATTTTTTTTATAAGATGCTAAACCATTTTCCAGCTTAAAGCAATTAAAAATTTTAGATATCTGAAGTTTCTAAATATAAGCTTGTGTACTTATATTCGCTCATTTAGAAAATAGATCTAGAACATGATTTTTACCATGAAGGAGTCTTTTCACAATAAGTACACACACAGCTTTCTTTAGGATACAGGTATCACGTAACACTGGCACATCCCTTGTAGGTACTTACTTCATTTCATTTACTTGTCTCAGAATCTCATGCTGAGTTTTCACAACAGTGTCTAGTTCCTGCTGAGAGATCTGGAGGAAAGAAGGGTAACAGTCAACTTTTAATAGGCTGCACTCGGAGGGACCACGGAGCACACCAGCATTTGCTTGGCCCTCCATCAACGGCTAACCAGGGCACAGCTGTAGATTTTGAAAGCTCACCTGCCCGGAGTGGCCTGGGATCCCTGCTCCTCTTTTAGAGACCTCCTCTGTCAAGGAGGAAACATATCTTCTCTGTTCATCGAGAATCATATCTAACTGTCGGTTCAGCTGCTTGATTTCAAGATGAATACGATTCTGTCCTTCAAAGATTTGTCTCAGCTCACGATCTCCTACACTCTCAAATATATCATCAGCTGAAAAGTAATAATTCCACATTGAGATTATTAGAATCATCTAGACCTATGTGGTGTTTGAAATACCATAACTGACCAAAACGCCAACATCTACCAAAATTAGAACATTACCAGTAGTGGAACAGGCTGCCGAATAGTAAATGTTCAGGTAAATAATCTAATCATGACTAAATCATTACTGGTTTTGCCATCCTTAAAAGATAAACACTTACAGATTAATGTATCTAAAGGTTCTTAAGGATAAAACTCAGAAGGTGAAGGTGAAGAAAGAAATGAAATGGTGAATGCCCCAGCCATTTACAAGTTTCAGAGTCGGAAGCACTGAAGTGTTACAGATAAGGCTTATCATTTGCATCACAAGTAATTCAATTTTTAGTAGTAACTGCAAATTCCATTAGTTAGATGAGATCAGTCGCATTCAGGGTGGGATGGCCATAGACGTAGTAGTTCAAGTGGCATGGATTGCTGTTTATAACCGTGAGTTATTATTCATACCTTTCTATGAGCAATATTAAAGCCGCTTGCCCATGTCATTGTTTTTGGTTTGTCAAATCAGTTTTATATATACAGTATCTATATTTTTTTCACTATGGAAGTTATATATTATTACAACAAAGTACAAAATAGATGAATTCATTTCTAATTTTAATACTTATTCAAGAACAAGAAATAATTATTGGGTACTGGGAACTAAAACTACTGAGGTGAACAATTGTGAGCATTCTGTTTTAGTTCATTTTATAAAGTGGTGCATTAGTTTATTTTTATTTTTATTTTTTAATGAATTTAGGACAGAGTCTACAGGGTCTCACTACATCAGACTCTTAGTGATTCTCCTGTTTGCAGCCTCCCACACTGGGATTACAGGTATGCCACCACGCCCAGTCTCAATCCCTCTCAGCACGCCCGGAGGCAGGGGCAGGGCCAGCACGGCAAGCCAGGGATCAAACTCCCGGCTACTGTGTTCTTGCATTATTTTTATATTTTTGTGTTTTGTAGCTATACTTTATTATTATTACTCTTTTTTTTTCTGCATTTTAGGGAAGGGTCTATAGGGTGTTCAGGGTCTCACTACTAGATCAGACTCTTAGTGATTCTCCTGTGTACAGCCTCCCAAGTACTGGGATTATAGGCATGCGCTACCACACCCAATCTCAATTGCCATCTCAGTGCGCCCTGGGGGCAGAACACCCACCCCTACTTGCATGTAGCTATAATTTTAATAAACAATTTTACATCCCCCCCAAAAAAGTAAACGAACAACTCATTTTGAATCTTTTCACTTAAAATTATCTTCCCTTTCACACATACTGTGTGATTCTATCTGTATGACTAGGCAAAACTCATCTAGGGTAATAAAATTAAAATGTGATGAGTTCTAGGGTGAGGGACTTTGACGTGGAGGTGGCACAAGGAACTTCCTGGGTTACAATATCCCACATGTTGCTGTGGAGGCTGTCCACATTTATTAAAATTCACCAACTGCACTCTTCACATACTGCAACTAGCTTCAGGATATATTCATAAATCGTATGTCATGATGTTTATAACAAATTCAAGAAAAGATATTTAGATCTCATTTTTCCTTCATTAACTCTGAATCATACTGTTGATCACTGCAAAAACTCCAGACCAGCATTCAAATGCTAGTAACAGGCTATATTAAGTACAGCCTGATCATTTATTTATTTATTTATTTATTTTTGGCAGAATCGGGGATTGAACTCAGGTTCTTGTGCTTGACAAGGAAGCGCTTACTCTACTGAGCCATCTCCCTGGCCCCCAGCCTGATCATTTATGCTGATGGAGAACCCAAATAATAAAATCAGGAGATACTATGACATCATTCTACTTGATCTTTATATTCTACATTGCTATGATGCTTGAAATCTTAATTCTATTAGCTTAGTCTAGCAATTTTAAATTTTTAATTGTTAAAGTTCAGGATAGCAGGCCTGCCATGCCAGCTCCACCCCTGGGGTGTGCTGAGATGGCAATTGAGACTGGGTGTGGTAGTGCCTGCTTGTAATCACAGCTCTTGGGAAGCTATATACAGGTGGATCACTACAAGTCCTATCTAGTAGTGAGACCCTGAACACCGAGTAGACTTGTTCCTAAAATACAAAAAAAAAAAAAAAAAAAAAAAAAAGTCCAGGATAGGATTCTATTAGTAGCAAGGATTCTACTAGAGACTGCTTCATATTACTACAATAGTTTTGGCAGTTTTCAAGTATTATCTCTACGTCACTAAGATATAAATGTGTCATGGAGACATAAGCCTTGTATGATTTTACTCAGCAAATATGACTAGGGAAACACTGTTGTGGCTTGTTTACAGTTTAGAAAACAAAAAAATAAAATCCATGACCTACACTATTCACAACCACAATATCCTTACTCATGACACTAAGGCACACTCTCATTTTGAAGATCTTTAGATCCTTAGGGACTAAAGATCTGTTACTTGTTTCCAGAAATGATTTAGAACATGCCAGGTCAGAAAAGAGAGATGAGACAGGTACCAGAGACATCAGAAGTCAATATGCCAGCTTCATAATAGCTCACCAGGCTGCCCCTGGAGGTCAGGATGATCCTTCTGGAATTCTTCTTTTTTCTTATCCAATTCTTGTTGATAGTGCTCGAACTCCTCCTGATACTTTTCTTTTTCTTTTTCTGAAATTTCTTTATCTGGAGTAGGCTATTTTAAAATTTAAGAATAGATCACAAAAAAAGACAATCAGTGAAATAGCTCAATATATATTTTTTTCTTATGTTCCTCATTACTAGTTGAAAGGTTAATATTACATTCTTACTGATCTGGGTGAGTAACAGTGAATAAACTGCAGCCAATGTACTCTTGCTACTAATGGTAACAAAAACAACAATAGCAACCACTATCCTTTGCTGTAAGTACATCGTCTCACTCAGTCCTCACAGCAGCAAGAGCTATCCAGGACTGACATCTGTCTCATCAATGAAGAAATGACACACTAGAAGTTCAGTAATTTGTACAAGACCAGACAATAGTAATGAGTGAAAAAAAGATCCAAACTTAGGTCAGTCTTCCTAAGTCTTCATTCACAAGGCAATACCACTAGAAATAGACTTTAGAAAAACAAGTGTGTACTCACTGGCTCTTTTCCAGGCTCAGTCAATTGGAAAGTCAGAAAAGAGAGAACATCATGGTCATCTACAAATAAAAAAGAAGTCTGAAAAGGTTCCATAAGAGATTATTTTGGTAACTGTGAATTTATAATTATTGCTCTAAAACTATAATAAGAATTAGCTCTAATTTGTTAAATGAGTAGTGGAACTCTGTAAGTTTAGAGATAAAAACTGATCTGAAAGATTTACATTTTAATTTATATTTACTTTCTTAAATCCTTTTCTTTTTGTAGTACCAGGGATTGACTCAGGACCTTGCGCTTGCCAGGCAGGTGCTTATTCTACTGAGCCATCTCCCCAGCCCCTACTTTCTTCAATCCTAACACAACATTTAGCAGTATTTAATTTATAACAGATGCTTAATAAATGCCTGACAAAGAAAACGAACAAACAAATGGTTAAAATTAGTCCAAACACCCACTCTTGGAAGGAAGACCCCATATTTCTCCCAAGTCTCACTCATGCTAATGGCTCATCAAGTGAGATAAATCTTGTTTCTGTATTTCCTGTACCTATATGACTATGAAACTTACTCATGGCATATTATTACTTTTTGTCTTTCCTATTGTTTTTCTCATTTGGAAGACATTAATAGTTTTATTTAATTTTACCTAAAAATCAAAAATATCAAATGAATTTCAAGCTGTTTAAGCAGACCAATGTTCATAACACTGAACTAAAATACCAGTCTTGCCTAGTTTTATCCAAAGAGCAAGACTAATTTTAAGTGTACAGCAATTTAAGGTGCACAGTAATTTTAAGTGTACACTCTTATAGAGATCCAGAGAAACACAGAGATTAAACAAAAAACTATAATCCTGTAGGACTGAGTAACTTGAGGAGAAATCACGTGGTATAAAAGGGCAAGAATCTGAAATCTTCCTGGGGCTGAACGTCACCTGTCATGTGACCTCCAAGACTCCTTTTATCTAAGATTTGGCAGACTCATCTAAAAATAGGGAAATACCACCTCTCTCTTCCCTCATTTTCTGGGTTGCACAGAACATGTATTTGAAAATACTTAAACTATAATGTACCATATAAACACAAAATCATATTAATGTGGAATAACTTCGTTCATCACTATAGGCAGAAAAAACAGTAACTCTGTTTAGTTTAAAATCAGATCCTCAATGCTGAGCATGGTGGCACATGACTATAATCGCAGCACAAGGGAGGCTGAGGCAGGAGGATCCTTGTGAGTTCGAGATCAGCCTGGGCTACAAAGTGAGCTCAAGGCTAGCCTGAACTGCCTAGCAAGACTCTGTCTCAAAAAGACACTAATTTAAAAAAAAAAAAAAAAAAAAAAATCCTCAAATAACATTTCCTGAGGTTGCAAAATTAATTTACATGTGATGTGACAACTCAGAAGTCCTAAACTACTTGACATTAAATGTTTCATCATTTCAATTTTAAGTATGTCTCTCCTATAAAATAACATCCAAACTGAGGTTCTAATTTACATATTTGCATGTAGCTCCAGCCAGGTGTATACCTACAGAACAGTAGAAGTACAGAATTGGCAGTCCCAACTGAGCAAGAGATTGGTTTAGGAGTGGACTATGGAATCTTTGTTCCAGTTCTCTTTAAAGGTAAAATGTAAACGTGTCTATATATCCTCAAAATATATTATTACCAATAAAACTCAAGGCACAGACTAGCAATATGAAAACATAGCACAATTTACCTGCAAGACCTCCCGTTGCAGCAGATATTCCAAAATGCCCTTGTGCAGGAATAATCATATTTTCTATTTTGGCACAAAATTCATAATCATTTTTATCAGGTGTAAAGCCATTATTGATCATTACCTAGAAAGACATACTATAGTTATAGCTTTTGCAAACGTCTGTGTAAAATGAATTTCAGTTTCTTAGTTATATGACCAATAATACCCAATCTTGCTTTCACTATGGTCAGGGAGATTTTACATAAACCTCATTTAATTTCATTACTCAATAAAATATCTCACTTGAAATTTTTTGCCTACTATGTGTCAGAGATTGAGGAAGGGAAAATTCAATTATTTCCCATAAAAACCTTTCCAAAATCAAATATGGTTTATCCTCGCTTGAGAAGACTTAGGGAACCATAATTACCCTCTCTGCAGGAGGTGCATTTGAATTTATGATCTTGATTTCTTAATAGAATCTTGGAATTCTGAGAGCACAAAAATCTGCATGATGCATGAATATTCTTCTCATTATCCTAGACAAGCTGTGGTTCACTTCTTCAATACCTTCCATTTTATTTTTTTAATACCTTCCATTTCTAAGAACCCAATCACTACTTACTCTATGACTCCTCGAGATACAAAGCGGATGAAAAAGGAACAAGTGCATAGTCCCAGAGAGATTTCATCACTACTGGTATAGTCAAAGTTGATAGTTAACATTAAGTCAGATGGCTGAAATGTAGAATCAGATTTTCAGCGAAAAATAAAATATCCATCAAGATTAATCTCTATACAATGTAGGATGGAAACTAATTTCTAAAGATCACCTGAAACTTTGTTAACTAATATTAATTTGTTTCTTTGGACTAGAGATGCTCTCATTTCAGTTTACATCATTTATACCTGATGCTCCTCTGTAGAGTCAAGTCATAACAACTAGTAGGACAACTGCCTGTAAGGGTTAAGAAAATGCTTAGGGGATCCCAAGATATCTCAGTGGACTGAGGGCCTGTGTAGGCAAGTACAGGGACCAGAGTTTGATCCCTGACACCACATGCTGCGCAAGACCTGCCCCTGGGTACACGGAGCCGGCCACAGAGACCAAACATGGTGGCCCACGCCTATAATCCCAGTGCTGGGGAGGCTGAAAACAAGAGGGATCACCACAAGTCTGAGCAGCATAGTGAGACCCTGTACCAAAAAAAAAAAAAAAA